CTTTCGAACTGCGGACCTTTCTGTTAGCACCCCAGCTTGTGTAAGACTAGAGGTTTAATATTGGCTACTGCCATGATCCGTATCCTTTGTATGTGTTTCTTCCGTGAAATATTTAAATGGTTTCAAAAATTCTTGTCAGTTCTTCATGTTCTGTAATCTGCTCACCCAGTTTCATCGACACCTCTAGTCAGTAACGCCTGACTTGCATGAGCCTAGTCGCTTTGAAAAGTTCATGCTGGAAAGACATGGCTGTTTCCAGAAAAACTTCGCTTGCCACGCCAAAAATCGCTTCTTTGATGTCTTCATCTTCTCCAAATCAAGAGAGAGAATGATAGTGTGGCAAGAGGTTGTTTATGGAATCAGGCTTGCCTTGCCATCAAGTCCGTTTTGAGTCATGGCGACTCTGAGGGACAGAGTAGAACTGCCTCCATGGGGGTGTAAGACTAGAAGTCTTTATAAGAATAGAAAACCTCATCTTTCTCCCTCCCAGCAGCTGGAGGCTTTATAGCCACCCAATGTATAACCCACAATTTCACCAGGTTGGCTGGGTTAATTCTCAGAGGCTTCCATTAGTTGCTACTGATATTAAACAATAAGGTAGGTCACTCCGTTTCCTATGTTGTACAAAGGGTCAATAGCAGTATATATTTTATCAGGTTGTTATGAGGATTACATGAGTTAAACATATGTGTAATGCCTAGCTCATACAATTGTTAGTTGCTCATTGGGAGTTTCTATTGTTATCAGAGTAGCCCTGGTGGGGTAGTGGGTACAAATTGCATGTGATCTGTATGGCCAGCAGTTCGAAACTACCTTGGGAGAAAGGCTGGGCTTTCTACTCCCATAAATAGTTGAGGAAACCCTTGTGTGTGGGGGGTCACTATGAGTCAGCACTGACTTAAGAGCCAGTGAGGTTTGTTTGTTCTTATCACTGGAGTCCTGGTGGTGTAGTGGTTACACATTGGGCTGCTAATTGCTAATTGGGCTGCTAATCTGCTGCTAAAGGTCAGCAGATTGGAAGCACCGGCCTCTCTGCAGAAGAAAGACTGGGCTTTCTACTCCTGTTAAGATTTACAGCCTTGGAAACCCACAGGAACAGGGAGTTCTATCTCAGTCAGTATGGCCTCAACTAAAATAGGTTCGGCTATTGGTTTTGGTTCCTATAGTTGT